ACTAACGACGACGACGGCGACGACGACTACCACTGCTAATGCTACTGCTATTGCGCCTACTACACCTACAGTACTTCTTCTCCAACTCCCTACGTCAACGACTTCTACACCTACATCATAGTTGGAAAAAGGTGTACATGTGCCAAGTACAAACACTCTTAATCGTTTCCGTAGTACAAACAGCCATGAACATGATTATGGTAAGGCAAGGTTGGGTTTAAGTAGAACCATAATCCTAATAATGATAAGAGCAAGGTAGTGACTCAGTACATCTTGATGAAATCACTGCCCGCGATATCGGTAGGACACATATTGCCAGTCATCACCAATCACAATGACATAGCGACGACACGATGATGCCGCAGCAAGACTATGTGCATGTTCACCAACGTTCACCCCGCAAGCCCAGATGCCATGGACCTCAAGCACTGCAGTTCTAGAGCCCCAGCTACCAAGGCATTTGGCTGCCGAGCCGCATTTGGCTGCCGAGCAAGATCTCTGGCGGGCGGTACCAAACTGTGACGACTTCGTGAGTGTACCTGCCGGGTCGCCGCAGTGAGTGGTACAGAGGAGCTTAAGCGCTCCGAGTCCTGCACAGGGCGGCCTCCCCTGACCTGTTGAAAGCGTTTTGAGGTAGGCCCGCTCAGCACCGTATGCCAACAGGATGCAAGGAGCTAACAGTTTGGAAGCAGCAACATTCGACGAAGCAAAAGAACAACCGCACGATACCGTACGTGTGATAGCGAACGAGTGCAGACCAGTCGCAGCTGCTTGCTGCGGCAAATGCTGCAAGGACAGCACAAAGGAACTCTTTGATTTTGCCGAATCATCGCCGTCTGTCACCACGTAGTGTGACATGTGAAACACTTGGGATGGAGCAATTTCAGAGATGCCAAGACGGGCCAATGCCACGTCATGAGCACCTCGCTCTTTGCTGCTCTGTGCTGAGGCAAGAACCGACTTCCGATTAAGCTTGGCTTAGATAGTCTGCCGCTGCTGGGCATCACGATGTCGGAAGTCGGTGGTGGTTCGGAGGGTCCCAAAGCCTCTCCTCCACTCCCTGCCCATCTTAAGGTGATCTCTCTGCGGCGTACTTCAAACGCGAGTTGGAAACTGTCGAAAGCTATTGAAACTTCGACACTCGGCTGCTGAGGACTAGTGGCTGTCGAATCTGCGGCTGACATCTGGTTGAAGCAGAGGTCGTGCTGGTTAAACCCCCCTTCATACAGTGTATCCTGGGAGTCCCGGAGCTTGCAAGGATCCTGCAACTGATCTTCTGTGTGCGAGAAGCCCGCAGACTTGCTAAAGTCCTCGCTTAAAACGAACAGCGCAATGGTTCGAACAGCCGGGACAAATCAACCACTGGTAGTTTCGCATCGCCTCGTGACGGATTCAAGCTGATGTGCTGTTTTGTTCGTGGCAACAACCTAAACATAGTAAACTATCTCGGCCCACTTCAGAAAGTTTGGATGTGCGGCTGGCTATGTTAACATATGTGTGCATGAATGTATGCATGCATGCGTGAATGTATGTATGTGTGCATGTATGTCTGTATGCATATGTTTGTATGTATGTAGTATGTAAAATTGTATAAGATGTACACATGTTAACCGGAGGTGTAACTACTGCTCGCTCGCATCTCGCCGCTTGGCAGTGCCCCCGAGTGCCCGAGCAAAGCTTGCAAAAGCCATAGCCCATAGCCTTGTCCAACCGGGTACCTCTGGACTACAGCACTGCTGAAGTACGTTGATGCGCAATGTCTCGCTGTGTCTTGGCGACAGGACAGCTTCTGGCACTTACTGTCGGAGCCCGATGGCCAGCTGGCGTGTAAAGCGAACGCAGGCACCATGTAAAGGCTTTAGAGGTCTGGCATTGTCAGGCATTAGGCGTTTCAACAAAACAGTCAGGCTTGCACCCTTACCTCGGTTGCTCGACTTTAGAGGAAGACTTCACAGCTTTGCAAGGCCAATCCGGTTGTACGGCTCAGGCGGCAGTGTCTCCGAACCACGCGGCTTCATCCCTGCCTGGCTACCAGGCTGCTCAGGTAAGCAGAAGGGGGCAGCAAAACAATGGATGACAACAAGTGGCCGTCCGGAGCATTCCATTGTCAATTGTCAAAGTACCCCTATTCCTGACTCCCTCGACCTTCCGGTAGATGTCGTCTAGCAAGGCAACATTCCGCACGGTGTCCGCCGGGCCCTTGTTCAAGTAGGCCCATGGCATGCCCATGTTCCTTGACATGAGAAACCCGCAAGATCCCACAAGTGGAGGTGGACAGAACTTGTGGTCCCTGGAATGGAGAGATCTTGGAGAAATTGGGACATGAAGTGGAGACTTTGGCTTGGACCGGCTTGGAGGGGTTACATTGTCAGGAGCCGCTGAGATCTTCACAAACCTCAAATTCCCGGAGTTTCAAGTGGATAGACGGATCGCGCGATGGATCCAAGAGCTTTTGGACCGGCGAGTGAGCTGCACAAGAGCCTGGAAGACAAGTTAGCCTGTCACCAGTCTTCTCTTTCACCAGGGCGCTGTCCACGCTCTTGGTGAAACACTTCGTCTACGAAGGACATGAGCTGGTAGTAGAAGGTATCGCCTCAAATTCGAACTCTTCGGAAATGAGGGCTGGAGAGACGAAACCGTCTGCACTACCCTGAAAAGCACTGCAGCTCAGTCACGGTTCACAGCATTGTCCACCCTCTCCACATAAGTTTCGCCACTCCTCAACTGACAGTCTTCCAAAGGCCCTAAATGCCGGCGGTTGCTGGTCTTGAGTGCATTCTGAAGACATGGGCAGGGTCATGTCGGGTAGTCTCGTCGGAGCAACGCTCGAACAAGCATGGCTTCGCGCAGACGAAGGAGCCTGTAGCTGCATCGATAGACGGTTGGTAGCAGGAGCTGACTAGGTCGTGCTGGTGATACTTCTGGTAGTGGCGATCTGTATCGGCACTGGTCTTATGTAGTTGGCGAAGGGAGCGCGAGCAGCAGTAGCAGTGCTGCAGGCAGTAGCAATTAGAAAGACCTCTAAGTGCCAGCTGAGAATCTCCGCAAACTGCTCTAGCGCAATCTCGTTGGAGCTTTTCCCCTGGCCGGTGAACCATTCCCGTACACCTGCATCATCTGCCACTTGGCTCTGTTTGCTTAGGTACAGTCACGATTCGTTCACTTTCGGGGAGCCGGTCCAACTTGCTGAAACATCAGCTCACGAAGATAGCCAAGCAGGACGCGACCGGGACCCCATATTGGCGCATAGCTTGCAGTAAGGCTAAGCTTGCCGCAACAAGTCCGCCTCTGTCTCAAAGTCCACAAGATCAGCGTTACTCCCTCACACCGGCTGAGCTCAGGGCGGATGATGCCGTCAGTGCCCGAAATCGTAAACTTCCTCATGAAAGAATGAACAACACGAAGTAGCAACAATGATGGCGAAGTGGCCACGATGAGAATATCTAAACACTGTGATGTGGTTGTGATCATAACAGCTGCACCATGTCAGTGTAATGGCGTATTAGTCGTCGTCGTCCTAGTAGTAGTTGTCGTCGTCGTAGTAGTAAGTAGTAAGTAGTAAGTAGTAAGTAGTAAGTAGTCAGTAGTAGGTAGTAGGTAGTAGGTAGTAGGTAGTAGGTAGTAGGTAGTAGGTAGTAAGTGGTAAGTGGTAAGTGGTAAGTGGTAAGTAGTTAGTAATAGTAGTAGTAGTAGTAGTAGTAGTACTAGTAGTACTACTAGTAGTAGTAGTAGTAGCAGTAGGCGTTGGGGTTATCTCACACCAGCTAGTGAGAATACACATCAACGCCGGCAGACGCGGGTTTAGGGAGAAAACACATCAGCGGGGCAATTACCCCATGTAAACGCTGGTTTCAAGAAGCACGAAGCAGATAGGCCAAAATGCGGGATTTGTTGCGGACGCTCAGGTATATACTACATTTGGAAGCATCGCAAGACAAGAAACCAGTGTGCTTGCCATGTAGACGCTGCGATTTCTGGACCATGCACAGTTCACAAATCTGCCATACATAAGCACACACTCGTGCGAAGATGCGGGCGCACACGCTCACTGACACCGACAGATGCGAGAGCGTGCTGCAGATGCCGAAGAATATGAAGGTGAAGATACAGAGCTTGATGAGATGATATAGCGTCTATAATGCGTTCCCCGAAGTAGACGCCTTGCAGATGCGTAAAACACCCAGTTGATACGAGATAAAGTAAAAGTAGTAGTAGTAGTAGTAGTAGTAGCAGCAGCAGCAGCAGCAGCCGCAGCAGCAGGCGCCCCTGCCAACTACCTCTGCTACTAACCCTCTTCAGAGCACATCCGTTTTATTCGGTATTTACGATACGTTCGTCGTGTCATACCATTTCTTCTGTCCTCAAAATCCACTCCGTGTTTTTGAAAAACTTGGGCTTCTTATTGGGGGGTGGGGGGGTGGGGGGGGGGATGACGATGTTACACAACCACCCCGAACAATATTTCCACGAGAGCCGTTTTGCTCGGTATTTACGGTACTTTCCTGATGTCTTACCCTCTTACATAGTCACCAAACCTACTTCTGGACTTGGCGATTCGACTTTGGGATTTCGGAGACCCTTTCGGCAAAAACTCTAAATTGGGTGGGGGGAAGCTTTTTTCGGGGATGATCACGACACTGTTTCGCGCACACACCCCCAACACTTCCTCCAAACAAATCCCTTTTCGCCGAAAGCCCTCCGAAACCCCCATGTCGAGTTCGCAAAGTCCAGAAGTCGGTTTGGTGACTATATAAGATGGTTCGACATCACGAAAGTACTGTATATATTGAGGATTTGTGGATCATGTTGATGATAGTTTTAGGATGATGTTGATGATGATTTTTGGATGATGTTGATGATGAGTTTTGGATGATGTTGATGATGATGATGATGATGACGAAGTGTAGCTGGCAGGGCGGTGGATAGTAGCAGTCATAATACTAGTACCTTAGAGAGCCTCATAAACCCGCGCAGAACACGCTATGAAGCCTTACCAACCACTAAAGCTCGAAGACAGACTAAACCTTACATCCTGAAACCTAAACCCTAAACCCTAAATCCTAAACCCTAAACCGCATCTTGACCCGAAATCCCAAGTCCTGCACCTTGGATCCACCACCCTAAACGTCCCAAAACCCCCAAAGCTCTAAACCTTAAACCTTCAACTGTAACCCTACATCCTACAACCCGACAGGTTACAACAACAAACACTACACCCTATAACGCTACACATTATTAATAAGAACACTCACTACTTATTTAAAACAACACTAAACCCTACAACCTCAACACTTGTCAAACGCCTCGTGCCCTAGACCCTACACCCTAAAGCCCACAAGCCTCGTGCTCTGGCCAGCCCCAGTCGGCTATTGGCGACATGGCTGCGGACCAGGCGAGGCAGATGCCCTCCGCCTCCTGAGGCTGCGTTTTAAGGCGTTCCGTGGGGTTCCGGGGTTTAGGGTTTAGGGCTCAATGAATAGATGGGTTATATATATATATGTATGTATGTATGTATGTATGTATGTATGTATGTATGCATATGTATGCATATGTATGTATGTACACACATATATATAGACATACATACATACATACATACATACATACATACATATATATATATACAGCCTAAGCCACCATTAGACATCTGCGGACTCTGATGTTGCTGTAAGGTTTTAATGCGTCAAGCTTGAGAGAGATTCTGCTGGGAATTCTTGAAGGCTTTATCGATTGTTTATACTGCTGCGTAGGGGTCTTACAGGGGCCGCTCTAGGGGTAACAAGTAGCTACGGGGAATGCTCTTGCGAGTTATTTAGACTCCCTCCATATTACAAGGTTTCAGGCCTCAGGATTTCGGGCTTTGTTAGGTTGGGGCTTAGGGCTTAGAGTTTGGGGCATAGCGCATGGAGCTTAGGCTTTAGGGCTTCGGGGTTAGGGCTTTGGCTTTAGGCTCCGGTGCTGCAAGTTGTAGGACTTTGTGGTCGTGGAAGGTTTGAGGCTTCCGGGCTTCAAGATTCGTACGTCAAGGTCATTTCGCTTCGGCTGGCGATTGCCTCGGGGCCCAAGCATTTTCAAGCATCCCCCACATCCCCTCAAGCCTCCAAGGCCCCCGAAATCCCCGAAATGCCCAAATACCCAAAGCCCTAAGCTAAGCAATCATCTTGCGAAGGACTCGCAGCTTCGCTGCCACCCCCCTCCGAATGGTAGTTGGGGTCTACTGTTTAGGAATTCAGGTTTAGGGTTTAGGGGTTTAGGGGGAGGGTGGGGCTTCGGTTTAGGTGTTTAGGGTCTAGGGTTTGGGGGTGTTTGAAAGTTGCGAGGTTTTTGGGCCTGAATTTAGAAATCAGCTGTGGGGTTCTTGCCTAATTCGAGAGATACCCGCTGCGTCAGAAGCCTGCAATTCCTTCCGTCTTTGGACGCGAATTGCGGCTCCCTAAACCCTAAACTTACACCCCAAAAGCCCGAGAACCCTAAAACCCGAAAACCCGAGAACCCTAAAACCCCAGAATGCTAAAGCCCTACTGCCCTAAAGCCAAGGTTCATCGAGACCTGAAACCATGGCCAAACCCCAAAGCCCAGACCGTAGGGGTTTAGGGTTTAGGATTTAGGGTTTAGGGTTTAGGGGTTTAGGGTTTAGGGTTTAGGGCTTAGGGCTTAGGGTTAAGGGTTAAGGGGTTTGGGGGTTTAGGGGTTTAGGGGTATAGGGTTTAGGGGTTTAGGGGTTTAGGGGTTCAGGGGTTCAGGGGTTTAGGGTTTAGGGTTCAGGAGCTAGACCCGAAACCTGAAATCCCAAACCCCCCCAAACCCTAAACAGCCTGAACCTTAAAAGGAATCCCTATGAAGAAACCCTTGAAGGACCCCAAAACTCTGAACCTTAACACCGTAATAAAGGGGCCTTGATAGTTAGAATAGGGTTTTGGGCTATATAATTATACTATACCTACAACCAAAATAGTATAGGTAATGTATGATAGGCCCCTATATTACCCGGGCTCCTCTTCACTCATCTCAAGGATTTTCACGAGCTGGCCCTCGCAGAAGGGCCCCTGGCAAGGGGCTTAGGCTTCGGGAATTCAGCCCTAAACCCTGCTCGGGTTTAGGGTTTAGGGCGAGGCTAACCCTAAACCCTAGGACGGCTAAGGGTTTAGGGTTAGGCTCCCCCTAAACCCGAAACCATGGGATCAGGAACCCAGAGGGTGGGTGAGCGAACGAGGGCCTGGAGGCATAGGAATTCATGGATTCTGGGAGCCGGTGGGCTGGAGTTTGGGGTTTTTGAGGGCTTTAGGGTTTAGGGCTTATTGTGTCGGGTCTAGTCTAGTCTAGTCTAGTCTAGTCTAGTCTAGTCTACGGCGAGGGTAGCGGAGCGCTTGAAACTTGGAGGTCCTCCCGGAGAAACACTCTCCGGGGAAATCCCTAGGCTTGTAGGCACCTTCGGCCAAGACACTGGGCAAAAGGATTCGTAAGCAGTGTTCTGCGCTGGAGTTTGATCCTTGGGGTTTAGAGTGCGGTGTTTGGGTGTTCGTCCAGTGCCTACGAGTCAGGTACCGAGACGGTGTAACCCTGCGCACCAGATCATCTCCTGCACGCGAGGGCAGAAAACTTAGCGAAGGCTTTGCGGTTTAGGGTTGCCCAATACAGTCTCTGCGCCCGAACATGTCAGAGCGGTTTCTCATGCATGGACGAGCATGAAGCTTGAGGTGAGATGCAGCAAACTTCTGGATGCTTCGGTGGCATTCGAACAGATGAACAAAACTCCCCTCAGCGATCATGAATCGAACGCTACCGTTACCTGAAACCCTAAGCCATAAAGCCTAAACTCACAACCCCTCATTCCTCAAGGACGGCCCGAAGGTGAGGGGAGAACGCGCCTCCCGGCTACCGGGGCGTGTGACCGATGTCCCGTCGGCCCTCCTCAGCAACGGCCCCGGAGAATGACAGAAGTGCGCAGTGAAGGCATAACGATATGAGCGCTTTGGCCATAGAAGAGTATGAGGTTTAGGTTTCAGGGTTATCGCAGTCTTAACATGGCGCGCACTCCAGTTATCGACGGAGGAAGCCGCTTCTGACTAAAACCAAGCTCAAGCACGACCGCCACCGAGTTGCTCCAGCATAGCCAGAGGCCACCGCCACCAGTCCGACTGATCTGGCGTATAGACCTCGGTTCAGGATTTAGACTTTAAGGCTTTAAGGGATTGGGTTTGGGTTTGCGGATTCGGGTTTGAGGTTTAGGATTTCGCGACTCACACAGAAAACGGAGCCGAAGCATGGGGCGCGCTGCAGCAACACGAGAGCCCCGTCCATGCTTGGAGGCACACCGTGGCTAGTGACCGCAGGAGCAGCCGCACGAAGGTCACAGAATTTGATCATCTAGGTCTCAGACCGAATACAGGGGTGATTTATTTATCCCAATCGCCTACTTAGTTATTCCTCGAGTGAGTAGACTTAAATGAAACTTCGATGGACACTCCGGGCATCTGCAAGGGCCCCTCAAACCACAAATGCTAAACCTCAAGCCCCGAAAACCCGCGACCAAAGATCCCGACATCTTGTGCCTGAACCCCGCCACACCCTTGACGATTCATGCGCCAAGATCCCGAAACCCTACAAACCCGAAGCTTCCCAACCCCTGAAGCCCTCCCCCCACTAAGCTGGAACCCCTAAACCCCAAACCCTAAACCGTGGCTGCAGACTCGTGGCGGCATAGTAGTCGCTACCCACGCTTCGGAGCTCGCCCACCGTGCCAAGGAGGGCGGCTTTGCTGGAGTTCCAGTGGATGCCAGACGCCTTCACAGCGGCTTCGACCATATGCGCGTGCGTGTAGAGGGTCATGTTCGTTCATTCATTCATTCATTCATTCATTCATTCATTCATTCATTCATTCATGCATGCATGCATGCATGCATGCATGCATTCATTCATTTCATGTATTTATATATATTTATTTATTTATTTATCTATTTGTTTATTTATTTATTCATTTATATTTGTATTTATATTTATATATTCTTTATTTATTTGTTAATATATATATATATATTGTTTATTGATTTATTTATTTGTTTATTTAGTTAGTTAGCTAGTTAGTTAGTTAGTTAGTTAGTTAGTTAGCCAGCTAGTTAGATAGGTAGTTAGTTAGTTAGTTAGTTAGTTAGCCAGCTAGTTAGATAGCTAGTTAGTTAGTTAGTTAGTTAATTAGCTAGTTAGTTAGTTAGTTAGTCAGTTAGTTAGTTAGCTAGCTAGCTAGCTAGCTAGGTAGTTAGTTAGTTAGTTAGTTAGTTACTTGGCTAGTTGGTTAGTTAGCTAGTTAGTTAGTTAGTTAGTTAGTTATCTGTTTACTTATATATATATATATGTATATATATGTATATATATATATATATTCGTTTACTTATTTATGTATTTATATACATACATACATACATACATACATACATACATACATACATGCATACATACATACATGCATACATACATACAAACGCACATACATACATACATACATACATACATGCATGCATACATACATACATACATGTATATGCATACATACATACATATATATATATAGAGAGAGAGGGATGCATACATATATATATATATGCATACATCCATACATATGTGTATATATATATGTATATACATCTATATATATATACAATGGTATCGCTATAAGGGCTTCCAACATGTTTACTGTGATGGCTTTTAGCAACGGTTGCTTCAAGGGTAACCATAAGTGTCCTAGAGTTTGGTGTCTATTTCAGGGTTGAAGTTTAAGTCTGCTTTTAAGGCTTCTTGAGAATTTAATGTGCTCAAGAGACCCAAACAAGCCCGGGATCCGAAATCCTGCTCTACATGGGTTTAGGGTTTAGGGTTTACACCTGAAACCCTTTGCTTTGGCTTCTCTGGCCTTGAATACTCGGGAGGCCTCTTCCTCGCTGATGGTGCGGATTCTCACCTCCGGGCGTCACGGCATGGGGTTGGGGGGTTCATGACTAAGTTCCTGGTTTAGAGCCCTGGCTCGAAAGCTGACAATTTGGGTTTAGGGCTCTGACTTGATGAGTCTGGGCACAGGATTGAAGATGTGGTTTAGGGTTTAGGGGATGATGGTAGAGTCACACCGGGCTATGTACTCGGAACGACATTCATGCCCATACAAGGTAGTGGATGAACAAATCACAGAGGCTGCAGAGGCATTAGAACTGGTATCACGTCATTCCCAGAGCAGGTCTGCAGACTATAATATACTATAATTATCAGAAGGAACCCCCACACTAGTGCCTGAATAAATACCTATACTATTTTGGAGAATGTAGCATAATATTCCCCAAGACCCCAATTCTAGTTATGAAGGCCCCTCTAGTAGGGTTATCGGCTTGAGACGCAGGGTTCAGTTTTTGATAGGGTTTAGGCTTTAGGGTTTAGGTTTTGGGGTTTAGGGCTGAGGGTTTAGGCTTTAGGGTTTAGGGTTTAGGCTTTAGCGTTTAGAGTTTAGGCTTCAGGGTTTAGGGTCTAGGGTATTCGGAAGGCTAGAGCCCAAAGCAAAAGCTACGTTCAAATCTCATTGAACACGGCCATAAGCCCTGCTCAAAGGTTCAAAAGCAACAAGCACACAGCCCATCTAGGGTCCACACATCCCAGACAACCAACCAAGCCCGAAAGTTTAGCCCATGTAGATCTACGGCCCACAGCTACACAAATCACCGTAGCTACAGAAAGCAGACCTTCTCAAGAAGCTCAAAAAGTCGAAGCACGCGGCCAATGAACTAACGTCGTCCCCAGATCAACACCGAAAGGCAGCGAATCGCAACACGCAGGTGAGGTTTGTGATGTAGGCGTCTTTCTTAGACATCTTCTAGGGTTTAGGGTTTAGGGCTTAGGGCAGCTTAGGGGTTGTGGTATCAAGATGCAACAGAAACACGAGTTAGGTCAATATCCACATCCAAGCTGCAAGGTCCCCTTGTGCGAACTTCGGCGAGAGCACTCCAGGACTATCAAGGTCCTTGCTTTTCGGTATGCGATAACCTAAACATACCGCATGGTACAGGGGCCTGAGGCAGCAAAACATGAGCTCGAGCATAGATTGATACTTCAGTTTTGTGAGCACTTCTAGCCCTGGAGAGTCCTTAAACCCCTTACGCAAGAAGTATCCTTTGTAACCGGAACCCAAATATAATCCAAGGCAGAAGCCATAGGTAAGGAGTTTTGGAATCTATTTGTACATGGGGGCCTGAGTAGGACTCTTTTTACGGTTCCTTTAAATGAAGGTGCTTGAGGGTAGGGGCCCAACTAATTAGAATAAGGCTGCAGGTCCACTATGTTATTACTGTCTGGGGGAGATGAAATTACTAGTTGTAGACCCTGTAAAGGCTACGCAAAGACCCTCTTTGCTTACCGAACACCTAGGGCTTTTGCCTAGCACATAGGGTTTAGGGTTGAGGGTTTAGGCTTCAGGGTTCCGGGTTTGAAGTTTTAGGGTTTAAAGTTTTAGGGTTTATGGCTTCGGTTTAGAGGGTTGGTGCTAGCTGCTAGCTGCTCAGAGAGAAAACCCTGAACCCTCCATGATCAGGAATATCAGTCGCCGTTTGTGTAAGCCTTTCCATAATCAGGAATATCATAGCTTCTGTATAAGTCTCTATAGGGGACATATGGCCATGGGGCATCAGTCTTAATGGGAAAGGCTCCATGATTCATGATGTAAGGTACTTGCAGGTCAACTGCAGGACTCTGGGTTTCGCTATTTCGTTTACAGACTGTATCCCAAACCTCTCTGCAGCAATAACCCTGACGCCCAAGACCCGAGGTGTCTGAGTCCGAACCACTCAAGCACGCGAGAACTAAACAAATGAACTATGACATCTGTATAAAATACCAAGACCACAAAGAGCCTCTATAAAAACCTATGAGAGCCCATCAAACCTACACATCGCCAAGCCTTTAGTCACAGTAGGAGATACCAGAAAAGCCAGCCTTGGCCCCCTAACAAAAACAAGAGTAACAATAATACAAGCAGCCATCATCATCATCATCAGCAGCACAATAGTAGCCCCAGGCGCTGGACTTCAGTCAACTTCTTCTTTGCTCGAGCTCCAGAGGGTTTAGGGTTCAGGGCGACTTCATCGAGGTGCCCCTGGAATGTCGTGCACCTCTAAAACCCTGAGGAAAAAAAAGAACTGGTCGCTTCTGCTTGTAGCTTGGGCAGAATGACCTAAACCCTAAACCCTAAACCTAAACCCTAAACCCTAAACCCTAAACCCTAAACCTAAACCCTAAATCCTAAACCTAAACCCTAAACCTAAACCCTAAAGCCTACACCCAGGATCTGACGGGCGTCTGGGAGCGATTCGGGCGTAGACACCGTATGCAAACACCTCGCCAGCGCGTCATGGGAAGAAAGTGACAATGCCCTTATAGTGAGACTCTACAACATACTGTATAACCCATTTTGATATACTGTAAGACGAATGTGTGAGATACCTTAATCGGCTTAATACATTCACGGTGATAAGACTAACGAAGTTAGGGTCTTGCTTTCTCGTCTGTTGCGATTTGCACTGAGACCTTGACACGGATCTGTGAAGCCTTGTCTCCCATGATTTCATAGCATAGTATAGCATGATGTAGTAGAGTACAGCTGGGCCTAGCATAGCCTAGCCTAGCATAGCATGGCATGGCATGGCATGGCATGGCATAGCGTATAGCAGAGCATAATACAGTATACTCAAGCGTGGGTTGGCCCGGCGTAGTGTAGTATAGTATCGTTAAAGTATCGTATAGTGTATCATAGCAGACTAGAGTCAAATATGCTCATGTCATATCATAGCACCTTTATCTAGAGACTAGCATCAGCAGTAGCAGCAGCATCATCCGTGTTGTCGCCCTTACCACCATCAAGAACAACAACATCACCATCATCTTCTTGTTCTTGTTGGGACTCAGCACCCACAGCAGCAGAAGCAGCAGTCATGACATGTCACCGTCGTTTAACACGGACACTCACCAATCGACTATCTATAATGTAGCCCCTGGTGCTGCAGCAGTGACTGCGGATGGTGCTACTGCTGCAGCAACAAAACTACCAAAGGCGACTTCAAATCAAGGCCCAAGGCACTTCAAACTTCTCGCGGCCCTCATCGCTCCGGGGGTGGGACCGCGCTAGAGAGCAAGAGTACTGCGGAACGCCCAGAAACCAACGGCCACAACAAAGACTCGTTCAAGGGCTTAGGGTTTAGGGTTACTCGAAACCCCAAACCCCAAGGGTCCAGGGTTTCGGAGTTAGGAATTTAGGATTCCGTCCGGGGTTCGGGACTTAAGGTTTAGAGCTTAGGGATCAGGGCTGTTGGGGTTTGGTCATTCGGGTTTCGAGCTATGGGAGGAAGCAGATGAAGGCGTCGAAGTTGCAAATTTAGGGTTTAGGGTTTAAGGAGCACGAAGCCCTGATGTGTCAGGACAGGCCTTCAGGGTGCAGTGCTTAGACCCTAAACCCTGGACTGTAAACCGCAAAGCCTCAACCCCCCGAAACCGACGCTGCCTCAAATATTGTTTTATCCTTTTCTGTTGAGCAGGGGGTCTGAACTCTTAGAATAGTATCTGGGGGTATATGATACTATAAGCATGATCAGGAACCTTAGGCAATAGTAATACCAATTTCAAGCTTCTTTACTATCCCGAAGCTGTAGCAAAGCGGAACCCTCAAGACCAGGCGGCAGATCGATGAACAACCTTCCCTCCCTGTGCCCCTCACCGCGCTCCCCATACCGAAAAGCAGCAACAACAGCAACAACACTACTAGGTCACTAGGACAAGCAACAATAAGCAACACTTGTTATCATTCTAGCCCTAAACGATAAACCCTAAACCTCAACCCGAAATAATGAATGAAAACAACAACAGAGCGAAAAGAAGGAGACGCGCAACCCCCGACAACACAAGCAACTCGCATACACTCTCGAACCCTTCGTCCTTCGAACCCCAAACGTCGGTTCCCAATGGAGCATTGATCCTTAGAGTTTAGGGTTCAAGATTCGGGCCTTAGAGCAATGCGTGGGTGTTTTGCAGTTCAGAATTGGTCCAGGATTAAGTTTTAGGGATGGGGCTTGGGACCCCTCCCTAAACCCTAAACGCTAAACCCTAAACCGTCCTACACCCTAAAAACCCTTACGCACCAAAGCCTACACCGAGGAGACACGTGCAAGGCCAAGTGCACCTCAAACCTTTGCCGCGCCACGGGGTCGACCTCAACAAGAACCCGTGAGTCGAGGTGCTGAAACGGGCGTGGAATTGCCCAAGAGAAACCCTAAACCCTAAACCCTCAACCCCTAAACCCGAAACCCGAAACCCTAAACCCTCAACCCCTAAACCCTAAACCCTAAACCCTCAACACCAAAAACCCCGAAAATACGTAGAAGAATCAGAACACTTGAATCACCAAAGACTCAAACCCCCAAACACGCCCCAAAACACCCTCGAAAACCCATCACTGCCCATATAAAATTGTTTGGCTAAACCCTCTGAAACCCCGCAAATCCCATTAAACCCAAAACCCTAAACCCTAAACACGAAGCGCAAGTGCCCAGGGGCAATGTGCCCTCTGATCTGCGCGCCGGCTCTGGCCTCTAATAGCGAGGTTTGGGTTTTGGGGTTTAGGGTTAAGGGTTCAGGGTTTAGAGCATTGGGCTTAGACCTTGGGGTTCAGGGTTGAGAGCTCCGGGTGTAACATGCTCCTCTTTGCTGGGCTCTTTTCCGATCCGCAGGTAGGGCCTAGGGTTCAAGAGTAGGGTGGCACAAGACCCAAACCCCGCTCAGTCTAAGTCTAGTCACCGAGTCTTGCACTTCTTGTTGCGTGCAACTGCAGTGATCACGCATTTTTCTGGCCGCCAACTGCTGCTTAGAGTTTGGAGTTGTAGGCTGAAGATGTTGACTTTGAGGTGATGCTGATGATGTTGTTGATGATGATGAACACTCGCCATTCGCCACGATCAGCAAGTGTCCTTAGCTATGAGCCTATGGAGGGTTTAGGGCTGGGGCGCTCCACATGCCAGAACAAGTCGGATGTTCGAAGCATGTGCCTTTGCGACTGTATGACACTTCGGGCATGTGCAGCATAAACTTACAACACCGATATGACATTCTGGAAAGCCATTTCTGAACCATCTAGCAGTTTCTGGAAAGAAAACATTCCAGCCCTACACCCTAAACCCCAAACCCCCACACTGCCTGCTCTGCAGCCCTCTCAGCCATAGCGGTGGGCCCAACGCTCGAGGAAGGCTAAAGGGGTCGCGGATGCTCCATAAAATATAGTTAAAGGCCTTCATCATCAGAATAGGGTTGGGGGGGTACACTATAGTCACTATACAACTGCCAAAACGCCGGGCTTTTGTTATTCCGTACAGCTGAGGGTCTAGCAATTGAATGTTCGCAGGTGCGAATCAACGCCGCTGCTTCCAGAACAACCTTTCAGTACTACTGCTGCTGCCGCTACATCCTCCTACATCCCACTACAGCCTGCTACTACTACAATTTACTACTGCCACCTACTACTGCGACGACTGCTACTACCAGTACTACTGCTGCTCTGATTGTGATGCAAGCGATCCAAGCTGAAGGGTGCGACGAAGTGAATCCTGCAGATCTCATGGCCTCTCTTGCGCCACGGCCAGAACGCATGCTCAGCTGATCCGAAGTCCTCAACACCAGCTCTTGGTTGTACTATACTTCTCCTCGCTGCTACAGTCAGACGGATTTGCTCGGACCCGAAATGCAGAAGCGAACTTCGATTTCCTTATTTATCCGCACTGGAAAGCTTGTGACGGAAAGATCTTTGAGGAGGCCGTGCTCAACACTAGCCGTCCAGGAAAGCGTATCGACCTACTTTCGTCACCCACTCCGTTCGGAGTTGCTCCAGTGGCAAATAGTCGGTCGACGCACGCCAACCTCGGGCTTAGCCGAGGAAGGCCACTAGCCCTGGCCGAAGTTTCCCGGCTGCATACCCATGGTTATGGCCGCCTCATCCAATTCCTGCTTGCTCAAGCCTTTCTTCTCCATGAACTTGCGCTCCTCAGCCGCGACCTCTTTTCTCAAATTCCGTCTCCACTCGGAGTTCTCCACCTTTGTGACCAACACGGAACCCAAGACCATGGAAAGCACCAGCATGATCGGAACGAGCCACCAAATTTGACCATCTTTCTCCAATTCGTCACGCCGGTTGTAGACGTTTGCTCCAATGGCCAAGACCAAGATCAGGACAGGAGTGGAAGTGACACCTCCCCTGAAGGTATCCCAAATGGTCACTTGTTTCGCAGGCTCCGCCGGCTCTGCCGCCGCCGGTTCTGCCGGCTCTGCCGCCTTGGGCTTCTCCTTCACATCCCCGTCGTCCTTGGGCTTCTCCTTCACATCCCCGTCGTCGTTGGGCTTCTCCTTCACATCCCCGTC